GTTCACAGCAGTAGTATTCCTAACAGACAAAAAGTAGAAACAACCCAAATGTCCATCAGTGGATGGATAGATAAACAAAATTGGTATATCCATACAATGGAATAATTATTTGACAATAAAAAGGAATTTGTGATTTGGAGGATGATTCTGAAGAAATTATCCAGAATGTAGCACAGAAAGATTGAGATGTAAAAATGTAAAAGAGAGGTAGGATTTCTATATCCAGCTAAACTATCCTTTATTAGTGAGAGCTCTTTCAACATCTCTAGTTCTGATTTCACCATCACAAACTTAAATGTTCATTGACACAAGACACAACTATTAAAGTGTTGCTAGATGAAACGTCAGTTCTACAAATAAACAAAATCACATTTTCAGAGTACCTGTAAATAATTCATCAGCAACAGAAAAGATGGATTAAGATTTGAGGTTTCCAAAACAGAAAAAAGTTGAAGAGCAGAAGTGGTTCAAATACCAATGAAGGAACAAGATTAGTTTTCAAGTATCTTGTGGAATCTGTTGAATGTTTCATGGCCATACAACATTTGTAGTATATTAATACATGTTTCATTTAACTCTTATTCCTAGAAGGCTTTATATTACAGAGCTTAATAAGCCATCACATTCATATGTACATAGTTTAAACCCATCATTTAGTATTTTTGTAAATTTGATAAGTATTTTCCTTTTTTTTTTTTTTTTTGAGGACTAACATTTTCAGTATATTCATGTAATACTTACTAGATGTTTACCCTGCAATGCACTGTTCTGGAAAGTTCACAGCTTTTTCTTAAAACCTGTTTATGCCAATGCTTTGTTACCTCTTGATATTTTGATAATCTATACATTCCCTTCAAGGACTTCAGATTCACAATCTGTTTTGCAGTGGTCTATGCTATTGCTTTTTTAAAGGCTGAAGAAAACAAATCCCTGATGGAGTTATTCCTTATGAAATGAAGAGATCTTAACTACCCCATAAATTCATTCTCTTAGTAGTTCTTGAGCACCTACTATGTGCTAGGCACTAAGCAACCTGCAATGAACAAGACAGAAATCATCCCTGTCCTCACAGGGTTTGCAATCTAATAGTGGGATGGGAGTGGGAGAGAGAAACAGTAAACAAATGAACAAGAAAAAAGATGTGCTAGTGTATCAGTTTACCATCGTGGCTGTAACAAATTATCACTGAACTTGGTGGCTCAAAGCAGCACACATTTATTCTCTTCTAGTTCTGGGTCAGAAGTCCAAGGTGAGTCTTACAGGGCTGAAATCGAGGCGTCAGCAGGGCTGGTTCCTTCTGGAGGCTCTGCGGGGAAAATCCACATCCTTGCCTTTTGCAGCTTCCAGAGGCTGCCTGTATTCCTCGGCTTGCAGCCTCTTCCTCCTTCTTCAAAATGCATCACTCCAGTCTCTGCTTCTGTTAGCACATCACCTCTGGCTCCTCCTGTATCCTTCTTATAACGACATTTGGGATCAGGCCTATCCAGATAATCTGGGATAATTTCCCCTTCTCAAAATCTTAACTATTAATATTAATAGATCACATTTGCAGAGCTCCTTTAGCCATGTAAGGTAACATTCTCAGGTTCTGAGGATAACGACTTAGACATCTTTGGGGAGCCATGATTCAGCCTACCATAACTAGTGCTAAGCACCATTAGAATTAAAATAGAATGCTGTGATAGAAAGGGCCTGAACGACTGCTTCAGTCTGAGTGGTCAGGGAAGGCCTCTCTGAGGCTACATGTAGGCTGAAATCCAAATGACAGCAAAGAGCTGTGAGGCCAAGGAGGAGAACATTCTGGGACGAGGGAACAGCTAGTGGAAAACTCTACAGCAGAAATAAGGTTGGCATGTTGAAGTTAATGCTGTCTGAATTGGAAGAAAAGTTATAGAAACATAAATGAGTTTTCAATTCACATTTGCTTTTTCAGAATAAGAAAACTTAAAGCTCCATCCTGTCTCTTGGTATTTTCTATGGGAATTTGCCCAAAACTACTGTTATCAACAGAGACCTCTTTTGTCACAAACACAGTGGACTTCTCATGGACACCCCTAGAGAACCCACCAGGCCGCAGAACCCATCAGCAGGCTACACAGGAACTTCAGAAGAAGAGATAACCCCCAAAAGAAGAGCTTGTTTTGATCGTGGCTTTCAAAATCTTATTGATGTTGTCACCTGCAATTACAGCTTACAAACTTTGTTAACATAAACAGGATTTTTGATTATAGATGCTCTGTGATTTATGATGGGGTTATGTCCCAATAAACCCATTCTAAGATGAAAATATCATTAAGTCAAAAATGCATGTAATATACCTAACCTGTCAAACATCCTAGCTTAGCCTAGCCTACCATAAATGTGCTCAGAACACTTACCTTAGCCTACGCTTGGGCAAAATCATCTGGCAACAAGGTACACCGTAGAGTTTGGTTGTTTAACCCTTGCGTGGCTGACCAAGAGCTGCAGCTGGCTAATGCTGCCCCGCATTGCAAGAGAGCATCATACTGCACGTGGCTAGCCCAGGAAAAGATCAAAATTTAAAATCCAAAGTACAATTGCTACTAAATGCATACCATTGTAAAGTCAAAATATCATGAGTTGAACCATTGTAAGTCAGGACCATCCCTATTTAAACTGAAGCAGGAGCTAACAGAAGAGACCTTAGTTGCCTGCCCCTGGGGAGGTGTTTTACTGATTTACAGAAAGGCCAGGTCAGCTCTTCTTCAGCAGAGTTCTGAGCTGTTGGAGAGCTGCTGCAGGGCTTTCTCAGCAAGCAAAGAGCTGTTGAGCAAAACAAGGGCTGCTCTCACCTTCTCCTCAGTCATTCCTTTCTATTGATTCACTTTCTTTCACTCTGAGCATCAGGAAGTCTCAGAACAACTAAGTCTGTGGATTTCCAAGTTTACATGCAACCAACAAACATACTTGAGGAGTCTAATAGAAATCACATTTTGGGTTCACACCCACCTTTTTTACCTATGACACGACTGACTGTACCTCTCTTATAGTTTTCGTTGTGATCTCCCTTAAATTCTACCTTCTGTGCGGTATTAAAGGAATGGTTCAAGCCCAGTTAATTCTGCACACCCACAGCCCCCAGCAGAGTGCCTGGCACAGAGTAGATCATCGATATTCACGTGTTCTTTTGTTCAGTAAAGACCTTCCTGGCATCTATGTGTCAAGCAATGATCTGGAGACTGTAATATTAATGTCAGTGCAGACCAAAAGCTAACCATTCTCAAAGACTTCTAAAGGAGCAGAATGGTCATAACCAAGACATTATTCCCATAAAGTAGAGTTAAATATGACCAAATGTTTGAAGATTTGCATGCAAGTATGAGCCTGGTCCCATGATCAAACTCCAATCTCAGCAGTCGATTTGGGCTATCTGAGATACTTGCTGGTTTTATAGTGGTTTGTTAATCTCTGTCTTTTCTGGCTCTAAACCACACAGCACCGTGCTGTGAAGTGTTAAAGGTTAAGCCTCTGCTCTCTTTCCAGCTCCTCGGATGACTGCCTGGCAGCAGAGGGTGAAATGATCTCATTCATCAGAAAGCACAGAGAGAAATTCTAAGACAAAAGGAGATCTGCAAAGTTAAGGCAGAGATTTTCAAGTTGAAATAAAAACCAGCATGCATACTTGAAGGGCCTAATACAATGGTCATAATAAAGTCATAAATGCATCTCACATAGGGCAAACAAAACCTAGTTGCCAAATCTTTTGAGTCAAATACTGTAAGTCTGTTAAGGAAGGAGGCAGCTGCTTCCATTGTCTGAAACCTGGGGCCAATGTGTTATTTCCTCCAACTACCATGCTTGGTTCCCAAGCATGATATGTTTTATGGCTTGCAAAACCCGATAAGACTGCCCCAGAGTTCAAGTGGTTGCTTCTGTTCTAAGTCCAACGGCATTTCACACTCTTGGTATTTCCATCTGGGCCACACAGTGCCTTCTTTGTGTGCATTTCCTAGTGAACTTTATCACAGGAGCAGTTCAGAAGTGTCATATCCTAACAGCTCATAAAAGATGCAACTGCACCCAGATGGAAGTTTTTAAAAATCAGAATAAGACCTCCCACCCTTGTTGGGTGGAGGTCTTAGAAGCTAAGCGGAGGTTCCCCATGGGAGAAAGCTGTTCTGGACCCTCAGGGTCTGGGTCACAATCTCAGAGAGGCCCAGAGAAGGTAGCTGCCTCAACCGTGGGCAGGGCTGTGGGTGGTGTGGAGACAAAACAGGTGGGCCCCAGGGGCCACACACCCGCACAGACTCTGAGTGATGAAAGGAAGAGACACTTCCCCAACACCTCAGCTCACCAGGGTTTTCTAAATCCTAGAATGAGCTTGCGGACAGCACAGTTACATTGCATTGAGTTAAAGGTCGTTCTTAACGTAAAGTTTAAAAATGTACTGCCATTTCAGTAACCAGATCTTGGCATTTATCAATTTTTTGATATATCAGGAGCTTCCAAAACTGCAAGTGGCAGCCCCCTTCCTCCACCTGTGAGAGCCCATGCGCTAGGGTCCCTTAGCCCTTTGGGGTCAGCGAGGGGGTGAGTGGGGAGGGGTCAATCAGGAAATCAATGCAATTGGGGAATGTGGGTCCCCCTTCTCACGGCCCCAAAAGGCAGGGCTTGGGGGGAGCGACCACGGAGGGCATGGCCTTCAGGGCCTCTGGGATCAGCAGCGTGAGGGGCACAGGAGGGCTCTAGAACCACAGAGGCCTAAACGCTGCGGGTCTCGGCCTCTCGGGGAACTCTGGGAGGGCCGCGAGAGGGCGCTCAGTGTCCGCCCCGCCCTGTCCGCCTCAGGTGGGTGACCCCGCCCACTGCTACTCGTCCCGCGCCCGCCCCGCCCCGCCAACCCCGGCCGCTCCTCAGGAGCCGCCCCGCCCACTCGGCCCCGTCCCGCCCAGGCCCCGCCCACCAGGCCTCCTCAGGTGGGGCCGCCCCGCCCACCCGCCTGCCTCAGGTGGGTCCTCCGGGCCCGCCCCGCTCGCCCCGCCGCGTCGGGCCGCTTCTCTTTAGCGTCTCTCAGACCACGGCAGCAGCGCCGCAAGTTTTGTCGTTTTTGCGGCGGAGGCGCGCGCTGGCACTCTCGGGCCGACGGCGGCCGACCCTCCGCTCCAAGGCCCCTCAGCCGCGCCCAGGCGCTCCCGCCGCCGAGAGTCCGGCAGCCACGAGGCCCCGCCGCGCCCGCCCGCCCGGCGGCCGCAGCCATGTCGCGGGGGCCGGAGGAGGTGAGCCGGCTCACGGAGACCACCTACAGGGTAAGCCGGGGCGCGGGGCCGGCGAGGGGAGCCCCGCGGCGGCTCGCGGTCCTCGCCGCGGGAAGGTCGGGGTCGTTCACCTTGAGGCGAGGAAGGGTCTTGAGGCAGGAAGGTCCTCCCCTTCCTCCTCCCCGCCCGACCGGCCGCATCTTCCCTGGCCCAGGCGCGGGGGGCGGAGAAGCAGGGTCCCGCCGTCGGTGGGGCCCGCGTCCTCCTCCCAACTTCTCGGAATCGGTGGCCGCGCCGCCCTGGCTGCCTGGCTTAAGCCCTCGGAGACCAGAGACAAGCTCGAGTTTCCTCCGAGCAAATAAAGCGCCCAGGAATGTAGGGGGGGAACTCTCCTGTAATTAGGCAGGGCCGGGCCAGCCGAGCGCTTCGCGGAGCCGCGGTGGGGGCGCGCTCGGCCTCGGGAGTCCTGGGGTGGCGGCCGGTCTGCTCTCGGGAAGGCTTGCAACAGCCCCCCACCCCAGACCTTTCCTCGCAGCGCTTTAAGTTGAACTTGGCTTGTATATACATCAGTTATTTTGTGAGGTTACTGGAGTGAAAGAGCACCCGAGATTTTAGTAAAATGGACCTAACCTTAAGGAATGCATTGATGGCCAGTCTCTTAACTTTGCATGTATTAGGAGAGAATTTTTCCAGAAACAGACATAGATTTAGGATTAGTGGCCAGTTTAGTAAGTTTAAGTACTTACAAATGAATTCCAGTTGAAATAAGATATGTGTTTAATCATCTGCTATTAATAGAATACAAAACAACTTTTGTTTGAATTCAGCTTAGGGTCATTGAACCCCTTGAAACTTTAAAAGTTCTCTAAATTCATTCGTAGGCATGTTTAAGGCCCACCGTTTGGTCGTTCTTATAGTTTTTTTTAACCCTACAATTTAGTTTCTGGGTTTGCAAGATCTGAGTTCCTGAAATCAGAGGAGTTTATTGACTTTTGTTCGTAGAGAATAACAAAAGAGCATGGAAATGTTTTCATAATCCCTGGAAGTCCAAAAGATTATCAATTCCCTTCATCTTAATACACCAAGTGTATACTGTAACCTATGAATTATACTTTGTAGGAAGATACAGTGGACACAGTCGACACAGCATTTTCAGACTCAGCAACTGTAACTGGAAACTATTCCTTACTCATATGTTCCCTTAATAGAGGGCAATTTTTAGAGATTTCAGAATTTGAATGTTAAAGTCTTACATTTGTATTGAGATTGTTACTATTTAAATAATCCTGAAGATGGTGGGGCAGGGGGTGTGGGGTACTGACAAAATATGTAAATAAAACATTCTCACTACCAGACTCTTGGTAGCTATTCTGATGACTGTCAGTTAAGGAAAAACTGTAATTGAGGAATGCAGATCATTGCCAATTTGAAGCGGAGTTTGAGAATCTGTTGGGATACAAAAACGCAGGAACACAGAAGTTCCTTCCACCCTGCTTCCAAGAACATGGGCATATTTGTCTTCCCAATCTGAGATGGGATAACAACCTGAGTCAAGCAGTTGGATGCTTAGAGTAAAGTCTTCTCTTTGCTCTTTCTCCCACTTCTTCCTGACTTTAGTGTTGACTAAAGTCAGGGGCTGACTCAAGCGAATTACAGTGCCGCAAATGCCAACCACTTGGGCATGTCATATTACCCAAGGAACTGGAGCAGGAGGAAAAAAGTGTGGATTTCATCACTTGGGTTATACATAAAGCAGTGTAAATCATTTTCAGTTTTTAAAAGGTTGCAATACACTGAAGATCAGAGTCCTGAACCTTGTTTTCCATTCCCAGGTGTCTGAAAGCATACTAAAAGCTCACTAAATGTTTCTTGGTTGATTTTAATGACAATTTCCTTGTTAATGTTTTAGGATCACTTTTTTACGTCAAGGTGGTGGAATAAGAATTTACAGCACCTGGTCAGGTGTGATGGCTCACACCTGTAATCCTAGCACTCTGGGAGGCCGAGGTGGGAGAATAGCTTGAGGTCAGGAGTTTGAAACCAGCCTGAGGAAGAACGAGACCCCATCTCTACTGAAAACAGAGAAAAATTAGCCAGGCAACTAAAAATAGAAAAAATTAGCTGGGTGTGGTGGCTTGCCCCTGTAGTCCCAGCTGCTTGGGAGGCTGAGGCAGGAGGATCACTTGAGCCTGTAGGAATTTGAGGTTGCTGTGTGCTAGGCTGATGCTATGGCACTCTAACCTGGGCAACAGAGCGAGACTGTGTCTCAAAAAAAAAGAAAAAAAAGAATTTACAGCACCAAGTTTATATAATCTATAAGATGAAGTGAAAGCCGCTAGCCCATGCTTTGACTATGGTGGAAATGCATAGTGAAATTTTATATTCGCAGGTCTGAATGGAAGCCTGAAAAGCCTTTCACCACCTCCCCGTTGCATTCTTCCCTTTGTCACCCCCCCGGCCCCGCAATGGTCAAAGCTGAAAACAATTTAAGGTTAATATGACAAAAATCTGGCAATGTTAGTGACTCGAGTTATTTTAAAAAGATATATCCTTTATGTTACCATATATCCTTTATGTTAGCAGTCTATAATATTTTACTCACAGAAACACAACCTGACCAGGTGTGTTTACAAAAGCCACCTGCAAATGAGATTTTATGACTTGCTAGGTTTTAGTTTTTTTTTAAATACTCAAATTTCTCTGACTTTGAAATAAAGGCATAAATTCTTTAGAGAAAAGAGAGAATTATAAAGTAGTGTGATCCTTTGTATGCAGTATCAAATATCCTTAAATATATGCTATTTGCACATTTGCTGAGTTATCTAAAATACATACTTAAACAAGAGATTACTGGAGATCCATGCTAACTCCCAGGAGGATGTGTGTTTTACCACTTCATGAACAAATGGCCTGATAATAAGCCTCAAAATGTCAAGTAATGTTACTGTTGCTAATTAGAGTTCAGCTAAAGATCCCTCCTTCTCCCCACACTTTGGTCTATAGTATGCCTATAATTTGCCCTCAAAAGCTTGATTGTGATTTCGAATGGTTTTCCGGTGAGTACATGCTCTAGCGGTAGGGGAAGAAGTAAAGTTAAAAAAAAAAAAAAAAAAAAAAACCTTAATTAAGAGTAGCCACCACCTTCCTAGAACTGTTAAAGACTTAGGGGTTGAGGAAGGATGGGTGTGGTGTCATCCAAGGATATCCTACCTTCATGAATCTTGCTAAGCAATGAGTGCAATGGGGAAATGACAGAAGTCTTTGAAGGTCACCTCAAGGAGGCCTGCTCAACACTCTTTAAAATTGTGGACAACTCCATCTTACAACCCCACCTTAGGTTACTTTACCTTCCCCCTCATAACACTTACTACGTTAGGATATACTATGTAATACATTTATTTTTCTTTCTCTCTCTCTTCATACCCCAACTAGAATGTGAGTTCAAACCAAGGCAACAAGCTTTGTTTCGCTGTATCCTAAGCAGTTAGAACAGCTTCTGGCACGTAGTAGGCATGCATATTTGTTAAATGAATAGACAATTAATTTATGAAGCACCTATCCTGTGCCAGGTTCCCCATCCCTACCTTGAAACTTTCCATAGAGCATTTTGTTAAGTACGTATCAGCCCTCAAGGTGGATATGGATTTCGTTTGCTTTTTAACCATTTTTAGATTGAAGAACTAAGGCCTAGAGTCTGAGTGACCAGGTTCCACATCCCATTTACCACACCAGTCTCTATATAGTCATATAGTTTCTAATAACCAAAAAATGCACAGACCAAATACGTTTTCATAATTTTCATGATCCAAGATGTCACCGAAATTTTCTATCATTCTGTTAATTCGTCATCACTGACTGGCATGTTTCAAACCTTTTAATAAGAAAGTGAGACGCTTTTGTTCTTTAATTGGGTAGAGTAAGCAATCTTGGCATATGTACTAGGGTTTGTTTAATGGTTTTTAATTTTCTTGGGGTTAATGGGGGATGTGTAAGCGAAAGTCCCTGCCTGATTGGTTTCCAGTGTGGACAATATGCAGAGGTAGCATGTGACACTTTGAAATGCCTTTTTTTTTTTTTTTGGAGACTCTTGCCCGGGCTAGAGTGCCGTGGCATCAGCCTAGCTCACAGCAACCTCAAACTCCTGGGCTCAAGGGATCCTCCTGCCTCAGCCTCCCAAGCAGCTGGGACTACAGGCACGCACCGTGCCCGGCTAAATTTTTCTATTTTTAGTTGTTTGGCCAATTTCTATTTTTAGTAGAGACGGGGTCTCGCTCTTGCTCAGGCTGGTCTTGAACTCCTGAGCTCAAACCATCTGCCCGCCTCGGCCTCCCAGAGTGCTAGAATTACAGGCCTGAGCCACCATGCCCGGCCTCAAAATGCCTTCTTAAGAATCCTCTCTAAGGTATGTTTATTGCTATAGCTATCTATTCGATATTAATCTTTTCCCTTAACACCACTCTTTTCAGATGTGCTGAAGATGAAATGCGATTTGCAGAAACCTAGACAACTTGCTCTTGGCTCCAGGGTGACTAAACAAGGGGACAGTTAGAATCAGGTGCCAGGTAGCAGCAGAAAGGGTTGCCAGGTATCGAATATTAAAGTGAACAGCCCAATACATTAACTTTTAGTCTGATAAAATAAAAATATAAAGTCAAATGATAGATTTTTTTTGGTCATAAACATTTTTTCTTGATTGGAAAGAGGTTTTAGAACTATGATAGCACTGCTATGCAGCAGCCTTTATTACAAAGCCTGGAGGGTGGGACCAGTTGGTCAGATGACACCATTCACAAGTTTCATGTAGCTTTTGGGTTTACATTCATGACATTATTTTGGTATTGGGCATTAATTCTTGCCTTGTACAGACCCGCAAGGGAAACCTAATGAGTATGGAATTACAACAAATTGAATTTTTGTTTCCTTTAGCATTCCACACAGCTATTTATTCTGCAGTTTAAAAGTAAAAATTATTATAAATTATTATTAAAGCTGGCTGGGCATGGTGGCTCACACCTGTAATCCCAGCACTTTGAGGAGGCTGAGGCCAGAGG